CTGTCTCTCTCTCTCTGTCTCTCTCTCTCTCTCTCTCTCTCTCTCTCTCTCTCTCTCTCTCTCTCTCTCTTTCTCTATCCATCCATCTATCAGAGAAGATTCATGGCCTAACCAGGCTCAGTAAACGAGTCTGACAGTTGTACCCACAAGCCATAATTTAAAAAATGACAAGTTTGAGGCGCCATGAAATTATCAATGTCAGCCAGCAGGCAGCCACCACTCAGGGTTAAAAAGAGATTTTATCTTTTCTTTCTCCTTTCTACATCCTCTATTTTTTCTGAACTACTTCATCTTTTCTTTCCCCCACTCAGCTTCCTCCTTATACTACTTTTTAATCCCTCTTTTTCTTCCCGTCTCTTTCAGTAAACATTTAAGGATGTGTGCTGATTTTGGCAGTTGAGTAGGTGTTTCTGAGTCACTCAGACCTTCAGCTGAGTGATATGGATGTATGGACACACACACACACACACACACACACACACACGTTATAAGGATTTAATTCCTGTTTTTTTTTGTCTGATGTCTTTGCTTTATAGGGATGTCAACAATGCATGGAGAACTAGGAATGCCACTTAAAAAGTCTAATGCATAAATCAATCGGTTATCAGATAATTAATTCAAATGTAAATAAGTCACAAACTGAAAAATGCATATACATCTGTACCATTTCATTTCAATATGTTAAATGTAGAAAAAATTAATTTAATTTTATTTAATTTTAATAAATTTTATTTTAAAAAAGCATTAAAAGATCAACATAATTTACAGATTGCGTTTCTTTTTGTTTGTGTAATTGTTACATTTAAAAGTGATTCATCAATTTATTTTCATTTTAACTTAACATTTTTAAACATGAATTAAGTGGCACTCCTGGTCCACCAAAACAGGGTGAATTTACTAAGCATGCACATATGTTGCATATCATGCTGCTTACTTTTAGCACGGCATCATGTTGATTTAAGTCATCGACTTTTTTCGCAAAACACTACTTTCTATGCAAAAGATGCTCATTATAGATTACGTTTTATTCACAAAAGTCTGAGCTGTTTGCTTGCTGGTTGATACAACTGTATAGAAAGGTTATGCAAACACCCTGTTACAAATGAATCTGCTCATGTAATTTTTTAAACATGATCTTTTCCACAAGACTCTATTTTTGTTGTAAATGTGAAGCATAGAGTCCCTTGGATGCTTTTGAGGTTCTGATCATGCTTTTGAAGCAAACTTCTGACTTTCATCATTGATTTCTGCATCATCTTGTGTTTGTAGGTCTGGAGTTCGCCTACTCTGCAGCCCCACGCTCCATGCAGAGTGCTATAATGGGCCTGTTCTTCTTCTTCTCTGGAATCGGCTCCTTTGTGGGATCAGGACTACTAGCTATCGTCTCTCTCAAAATCATCGGCTGGATGTCCTCGCATAAAGACTTCGGTAAGACTTGAGTGAGGGAGAGCGTTAGAAGATACGTGAATAGCACTGCACAGCATAAGGTCTGGGATGAAACGAATGTAGCTCACCTAGTTTTTGAATGTCTGTTTAAATGAGTGTGTGCATGAATATAAATGCAAGTGAGTGTGTGGGTCAGGATTTGGCTGCATTGAAAGGACCAAATGTCCTCATAATGATCTTAAAACCTAAAATTAGATGCACTATGGGGACTTGTGAGGAAAAGGGCTTGATAAGCATACTTAATTATGACTTAATGAAAATTTTAAATGCAGAAAGGTTTGCGTGAGGGTCAGAGGGGATAGAAAATATGATTTAGCTCAGTATAAACACAATAACACAAAAAGTCCTATTCCCGCAGGTTGGGTGTCTAAGGAACACAACTTTGATTTCATTGTCCTTTATAAGCTGAACGATGCTAAAATATCCTGAAAATCAATGACTTGTATGTTCCATCTTGATGAATGAAATCGATGATGAAAGATGCTCCCTGATCAGCATTCTGTTTAAATGTGGTGAATTGTAATAATGCCAAGAGAAAGAGAGGTCGTACCTTTCAGTTCTGGGGTTTTGGCAGAGATGAAGTGACGAGGTGAGCACATGTGTTTGATGGATGATGTGTGTTTTATGTGTGTGTGCACATACGGAGGCTTGAGTGCAGTCATCTCTAACTAAACCCAAGAGGTGCTTGCCCATTCGGCCACTGTTTATGTCTGTGTGTGTATCCTTCCCAATAAAAAGTGCCATATTTTGTTGGCCTTTTTAATGATTGATGACATATGTAGAAAGATCAGATAGAAAAGATCTATCAGACACAGATTCAAACATTGCAAGCATTGTTCTGCTTCCATCTTTTCAGAAAGCCATCTTTATTGTGCTTAAACAACTGCAGACAGCAGTTATTTTGATATACAGTGACATACACATTATTAACTTAAAATATTGCTTAGTCTGCCATAATGCTACTTCAAGATTTTTCTGTATTGGACCAGTTTCCATTGTCAAACTGATTTTAAAATCAGATACTTTATATAATGCGTGGAGATTAAATCAAAATGGGCCCCTGATTTCTTAAATAAATGTCCATAGAATTACATGCATCAATCGTCAATACATGTTGTTATTTTGTAGAAAAATTGATGTTTTCATAAACTTTCATCAAAGTGTAATAACTCTACAGTTCATCCTAAAGGCACAATATAAATATCAACCAATAATATCTATATTTCACCCACTTTTCAGGATCCAATCAAATCCAGATGAAGTAAATCAAGTCCTGTCCTACATTTTCTGCTGAATAGTCTGTTTCGCTTATAAATGTGCCATGTTCTCTTACATGTGTTGTCAAAGGCAGTTTCATGTTGTCTGGAGTAAAGTTAACTTTTGAAGTGTCTGGAGAAAGAAAGCCATACCTGAGTGCCAAATCTCGTATTATGAATGCACATGGTAATTGATGGTCATGTCAGGCTTACACCAGGATCGGTTTGTAAATCTGTCGCAGAGGGGACGATGAATAGCACAAAGGAGACAGTAGATGGATGTGATTTCCATCGCAATGACAGCTCAATGGTTCAGATGTACTCCCACCCATTCTGTGTATCTGAGGCAAATGAACAGTTTACGCACAAACTACTTCAACACCCATTAATACAGCACACCAAGACAGGTGTGAGGCATTTCTGCTGGCATCAGTGAGAGTGCATGTACTTTAAATCTGTATCTCTTTGCTCTGTTTGTTTGGCAAGCATCATTGGAATATTAGAGTGGGTCTTAATATGAATTATATGACACATTGTTTTTTTTTTCCCCCTACACTTTTAGTGATAGAAGAGAGAGGACAGGAAATGAGAAGTTGAAGAAAGAGAATAGATTCTGATGGAACAGTCAGACTCAAATCTGCAGTGTCCATATGAGCACCACATGCTTTAATATGAATTATAACACATTGCTATTCCTCTTTTTTTTCTTGATGCCATTTTTAGTGATAGTATAGGCAAGAAAGAGGACAGGAAATTATAAGGACAAGTGGAAAGAACAGAATCGGGATGTGATGCAGTCAGACTCAAACCTGCAATGTCCATATGAGCACCACATGCTTTAATATGATTTTTTCTTGACACATTTATATTCTTTATTTTCCTTTTTGCCAATTTTAAGACCACGACACACCAAGCCAATGGTCGGCCAAAGTAAGGCGACTGAGCATCTATCATTGAGCATCTATCAGCTGAGTTTTTGCAGTGTGTTTCACACCGTTGGTGGCTTTTTGGCTGGTTGAGCATGTTGGATCAACTTTAGGCAGTTGCTGAGAGAGATCACTCTGATTGGGCGTTCAGCTTGGAGTACCAGTGCAGGAGAAGAAAAAATAAAAATGATAAAAGCAAGTGAAAACGATAAAGTCAAGAGGGCACACACCAAATGCTCTTTGAATTTTACATCTTCATCTTGCCTGAACATTCCAATACACAGATATTTTCATAACAATTTTTTTAATGGTCGCTGCTGATATCCTATAGAGCAGGGTGGCTGATGGCCTATATAAAGTGATTGTATGATATCACAACAGTTTAAACATAGTAAAGCAAGCAGGCATAACTATTGCTGAAATTAATTTCTATATTTATTTGACATAATATTTACTAAATTAATATAATTAAAAATTGAATGAAAATGAAAATAAAAATAAAAACTTGATCAAATCTGTAAAATATAGATATTCTATTATGGTATACACATACAGGGCTTGACATTTACTTTTTTGCTCACTGGCTAATGGTTTTCCAAATTGACTAGCAACTCCGCATTTTCACTGGCCACAATTTTGTTGTTGGGAAATAATGTTTTATATGACTTAATACTGCATGCAAAAATGTATTTAAATTGATTTCCAGGTCATTTTTGACCTATTTAAAGGGCATTTTTCCCTAACAGTATTAAATGCATGCATCATCTTTCATATCAAATTCTAACATTTTATTAATAATTTCACTTAATATAATAAGATAATATAGGACTGTTACCAATCATATGAAATCAAGAGGGGTGTAACGATACACATATTCGTATTGAACCGTTCGGTACGAGGCTTTCGGTTCGGTACGCATTACAAACCGAATGATTCGTTGGACTAATCCTATTACATATGGAAACTAAAAGAGCTTTAAGTGTGTGAAATATAATGTTCTCAGTGCTACTGCGCTCAACAAGGCAGCCCAAACGACGTAACAGGCAACGTGCTGTCTGCCCCGTGATAACCTCCCCATGCTGGGGTGCGTCGAAAGATGATGATCTTGTATCGATGATAGCCAGAGATATGGTCAAAAACAACAATTATTGGCAATATTAAGAGGATTTGGCACTTCCAATTAATGTAGGCCTGTTACATTCTTATTTTTATTAGGACTATTATTATTATTATGAAGTTACTTTTATTATTAAATTAAAATTACAATTAATTTGCCCCGCAATATTAGCTACCGTATAACTGACGCGCTGCGAGGATAAGAAAAGAATAGGCTATTTACTCCTCAATTAAAATGTAAAAAATGTCTTTAAAAACAGGTCTATATACAATGAATTAAAGGCCTATAATTAAAATATTAACTCAGCAGTCATCAATTAAAATCAATGAATACAAAGCTATTATAGCTTTAGCCTATTTCAAGCACAAACTTTCAAAAACAACCTGTTTAACACAAAATACGTTTCTTGTCTTTTTTTTCACTATGTACAGGCCACAAGAGAAATATCAAGGGAATAAATGAAAACAGTTAGCTATATACCATTATCAGCGCATGTTGAAGTAGACATCTGAGAGAATATGCGGCGACAGATGCCGAAAGCGCTGTCATTACTCCGTCATTCCGTTTTTACTTTCACTTTCTGCATAGTGAATTGACTGAGATTAAGACATTCACGGGCATAACTCTTGCACGAAGTTTGCACGTTGCTTGTGTGTGATATCCAATGACTCGCCTTCATGGTTTAAAACAGAAATATTTCCAACATTGCGATGTAAGCAATTACCACGACATTACCCCCAATTACCCCCCCCCGTATCGAAAAAACGTGACACCACTGTGTCGTATCGAACCAAACCATGAATTTTGTGAATCATTACACCCCTAGAAATCAGTATCAACAAAACCAATCTTTCCACTGCAGAAGAAACAAAAGTGACTGAAGCGGCATACAGATGTTTTTACGTAAACAGTTCAATGTAGCTGAAATATAGCACGAATGCATTTACACTGCATGCAAAATTATAACAGCATAAATAATGTTGTGAGCTCGGTGTTTTAAAATATATATATTTTTGAATATACAAATATGAAATGTTGAAAAAAAATGCAAAGATAAGCTACTATGAAAGTAAACCGCCAATAGGTGGCAGCAAGTGACTATCTTAATTAGCATGCCTTCAAACGATTCGTTCAGATGGCTGATTTATTCAAGAATGAAGCAAGTGCCTGTCCTTATGAATGGACCACTGAATCATTGACTCAAATGACTCAAAATTCAAAAACGCGAATCATTTATTAACAAAACACCGCTGTGTGCTGCTCAGAGATGCGTGACTGTTTGGAACTATTTTAATTAACCAAATGGAGCAAAAACAGTCAACGTTGGCAATATATCCTTTCAATAAATTCACATTCAAATATTGAACTAAAATGTATATTAACTACTCGTTTTAACTCTTGTATAAAATGTCAAATTTGCAATCGTGGTTTTCAGGGAACTTCCCTCTCTTGGTCATGTCATGTTGCTTAACTACTGTAGGCTATGTTATAAATATAAAAACTAAGTTATATTTTTATGTTTCTTCTGTGTGCAGTTGCATTCATTTGTTTTGATTTCTCCACGAGATTCTCTTACATAGGCTGCGTGAGCTTCAGCTGGCGCGACCTTGTTGTTACTGATTATCCATTATCAATCTCCGTTTACACCGATGTAATAAAATCAGAACCATTCTCGACGAAATT